CTTAAAATTTATGAAATCTCTTAATTATAAAGTTGTTGAAGTTTATAATTTCTATTCTAGTTCAACCAGATTCATTGTTTGTCCTAGAGTAGCAGAAGAGGTTTGAGATTTCCCTGCATTATGTATTTCCTCTGATGAAGCGTAAAGAATGATCATAGATTTACTCTCTGTCTCTCTCTCTCTCATACACACATTCATAAACCTCTCTTCCTCTCTCACACACACACATGCATAAACCTCTCTCTCTCTTTCTCTCTCTCACACACACACACATAAGTACACTCATTTTCTGCTTTTTAAATTAGAACCTGCTGAGAAGAAAATGGACCCTCGAAATCCCTCCTCACTGACTGAGTTCATTCTCACTGCCTCACAGAACAGCCACAACTCCAGCTGCCCCTTTTCCTCCTCTTCCTAGGAATTTATGTGATCACAGTGATGGGGAACCAGGACATGATCACACTGATTAGACTCAGTTCTCACCTGCACACCCACATGTACTATTTCCTCAGCAATTTGTCCTTTATTGATCTCTGTCAGTCCACTGTTATTACCCCCAAAATGCTGGTGAACTTTGTGACAGAGAAAAATATCATCTTCTACCCTGAATGTATGACTCAACTCTACTTCTTTCTTCTTTTTATTATTGCAGAGAGTTGTATGTTGGCTGAAATGGTATATGACTGCTATGCTGCCATCTGTAAGTGCTTGCTTTATAATGCCATCATCTCTTATTATAGGAGCTTCCAGCTCACAGCAGCAGTGTTGTGCATCATTCAATTGACATTCCATACTTGCCTTACTTTGAGACTTTATTTTTGCAAGGCCAGTGTGATTAACCATTATTTCTGTGATGTTTTTCCACTCATGGAACTATCCTGTTCTAGCATCTATTTCAAAGAATCATTGGCTCTAGTCTGCAGCTCTTTCAAAGTCATGATTCCTGCCTTAACTATTCTTGTCTCCTATATCTTCATCCTTTACAAAATCTTCCACATCCACTCCACAGAGGGCAGGTCCAAAGCCTTCAGCACCTGCAGTTCCCACATCTTGGCTGTTGCTGTTATCTATGGATCTGCAGCATTCATGTACCTGCAGCCATTATCTGTGAGTCCTATGGACCAAGGGAACGTGTTCTCTGTGATTTATACTGGCATTGTGCCCATGCTGAATCCTCTGACCTACACTCTGCAGGATAAGGATGTCAAATTGGCCCCGAAGAAAATTCTGAAAAGTGGAAAATGTAGATGAATAGACTCAATGTTGGTGTCATATCAGAAATACCTTTGCTGAGATACGTAATGTTTTAGTTTTATTGTTCAAATTTTTGAAATTCAGGATTATTTTCCCATGCAATACATTTCCCAAATTCCCTCCAGGCTAATTCCTTTGAATTTGTGTTACATTGACTGTATAAGGAGAAATATCAAGAATAAAGTCAGAGACTGTTGAGAATTAAAGAAGTTACAGTGTAATATAAAAAAGAATACAGACAACAAGAATCACTATGATGATCATCATAATGTAATAACATAATATTATTGAGATAGTATAAAATATCAAACTCTGTGCCCAACACTTTATATTAGACAACTTTCTTTAATATTCATGATATTCTTTCAAGGCAAGCCCTAGTATTGTTTCTGTTTGAAAGATGAATAAATTGAAGCTTGTTTACTTTGAGTAAATGTCCATAGTCCCAAACATAATAAAGACAGAGGCTAGAATGTCTGGCTCCAAAAACTGTGATTTTACCCAAAGTAATCTATTGGCCTCAGGTAACTGTGGGTAAGTGTAAGGACTTCCCCGTAATTTCTTTCTACACATTAAGCTTCTATCTCCTGTGAGATTGTATTGTTTTTCACTAGATCTCTTCAATTTGATTTTCACTTTTATTTCATTTGATTTAATGAAAATAATCAATATTTCAAACTTGTGTTGATCAAGCAAAATGATCAAATGCAGAGTGACTGCAGAAACTTATGGTAAGACTAATCAAAGAGATTCAAATTATCATGCTTAATGCCAACAATTTTACACAAGTAACCAACACATGTTTATCTCTAGGGGCTCCCCTGGTGGCTCAGTGGTAAAGAATACAGCTGCCAATGCAGGAGACATAAGTTTAGTCCTTAAGTGGGGAAGATTTCCTGGAGAAGGAAATGGCAACCCACTCCAGTATTCTTGCCTGGGAAATCCCATGGAGAGAGGAGCCTTGCGGGATAGAGTCCACAGGGTCACAAAGTGTCCATCCAAAAACAATCTTGCCACTAAACTACAACAATAATTTATGTTAACAGCTACTCATAATAACCCCAAATTCTGTAAATTGTATTACTTTCACACCCTTTTGCCACATAAGTTATAAGCAATTGTTATTTCTTGTCAGTTTTATCTTGGAAACATCACTTCTCTCCCCTCATATTGCTCCTTTTTAACTTCTGGTCATCAACATCCGGTAACTATAAATTCACATGGAGCTCTAAATACTCAGTGTCTTCTGCCTCGTCTCAGTTCAAACCGTCTTTCTCATTACTGACAGATCAAAGTTCTTTGCATAGCACTAGCTTCCCTTGTGGCTCAGCTAGTAAAGAATCCACCTGCAATGCAGGAGACCTGGGTTTGATCTTTGAGTTGGGAAGATCTCAGGGAGAAGGGAAAAGCTACCCACTCTGGTATTCTGATCTGGAAGAATTCCATGAACCCGTAGTCTATGGGGTCACAAAGAATCGGAGACAACTGAGTGACTTTCACTTTCAACGTAACACAAGTATAAACTGGTAAAAGTAACTGACTCTTCTTATATTTAACTATAAGATCTCTCTTGACTTGAGTGTGCAATTACCTTGATTCAATCATTTCTAAGTATGGTTCCAATTTTCCTATTTTAGAACAAAAAGTGAAAATATAATATATAAGAATAGAAGTAACATGAAACATAAGTGCCTGATAAACTATTTTATATATGCAACTTAGCAACTAGAATCATTAACAGTGAGCAGCTAAAAAAATCTAAAATTAATATTCTGAATTCTTACCCCATAACTTTAAATCCAATAGCATATAGATTTGACTTTGAATTAATATGTATATTTTGTATTTACATATAAAATTGATTAAATACATTTTTGTATAAGGATACATGATTTACTTCATCATATTAAAATGTGTTGCCATGTTAATATTAAGATAACTTGTCAGAATGTTGCCCAATCCTCTAAAACCTTTTATTCACAGAGTGGACTGGGAACTAGTAGCTCTGGCTAGAAGCTTGTACGAGATGCAGAATCTCAAGACCTCAAATGCTCCTCAGAACCGCTGGATGAGGATCTGATTTTGAAAAAAATATCCAGGTGAATCTGTGAAGAAATCTTAATCACTAATTGATGAGTTTAAGACTGACAGAGAATCCCTCTTGAAGGGAAAAGTTAGACAACTGGGGACATGTCAACTGTAACTGCTTCTTTTCTCAAGAGCTTGTCTCCTGAGAAGTGGAAATCCTTGGAGAGTATTTGAATCCATGTTATTTATTGCCTGGCTTATATGAAATCCAGGACACACCTTCATAGCACAGTGATCACAACCGCTCAGGGGAGAACTGAGAAAGGGGCAGATGTTTCCTCCCTTGAAGCTGAAGAAACACACACTAAGACACAGTTAGAGATGCTGACCTGTGATGCAGACCAGCTTCAAAAGGGGCTCTCAGACCTGGGCTGTGCTGGCCTTCTCGACAGACAGCAGGAAGCTGGGTACCTATTATTCCTGACACCAATACAGAGCTATCTTATGGGTCAAAGGAAGCATGTTGCAAATAAAATTTGGTGTTGAGATTTCCAACAAGAAGAAAGGTGAGTATATTCATCTCACATTTGTGGCTTGAGACTATTAAGTCTGGAAATACTAATGTGAAAATTCAGGCAAATATTCCTCATATATTCATGTATGGGATTATGTATAAAATCCCATTTATATCCTCAGCACTATACAATTACTTGTTATACAGAGGAGAATAAGTCTGATTCGGTGTATCATCTGACTTACAGTATATCTCAAGTCTAAAAATGTGCTGTTTAGAAATGACAGTTTTTTGAACTTGAAGTAGGAAGGTTAAAACAATTACAAGGTGTTGGAGAATGTTTTCATGATGATTTCTAACTTAAATAAGATTGAAAAGAAAAGAGAACTTATTTAGCACACAACAGAGACAAAGAAAATTGGTAGGATAATTTCATGTGAAAAAAAGAAAAAAACATGTAAAAAGACAGACAGCAGCTACCTGCTTCTCCTTTAGCCTTCAATATTCCCCAGCATCAGAGTCGTTTCTAATGAGTCAGCTCTTCACATCAGGTGGCGAAAGTATTGGAACTTCAGCCTCAGCAACAACACTGTCCAACGAATATTCAGGGTTGATTTTGATGGCACTCATAGGAAATGGTAACAATGATATGGCATCATGAGGTAGACAGATGAGGCCGTTTGGGGCCAAAAGTGAAGAATTAAGAGATTCTGCATGTCACACTTTAAATCCCAACTATAGATGCCCTCTGTATATGTCTCTGTATATGTTTATCTATATTTATATGTACACACACAAATGTATATATATGGATATGCATATTTTAGGTATGCATGTATTATACTATGACTCATTCATCTATTCATCAGTTGCTGAACATAAATTTGAATTATTTCCAATTTGGATTGTTATGCATACAGCTGCCATGCACATTTTAATGATGATAAACATGGCTAAATTTTTTAATAGAAAATATATTTATTATATGTGAAAATGAGGTTTTATAAATATTGGATTGACATGTATTGTGATTCCATAAATAGACCCAGAGTTAAGTGATTATATAGGTCAAAAGGATACCTAAACAGTGAATCATTTATATAGAACATTCTACTGCAAATGAAAGAAAAAAAAAAAAAGCAAAATGGATTCTCTCCAATGACTGTGTTTTTCTCTTTCCCCTCCAGAGACTATGCAGACAGAAATGGCAGCAGAAAATCACTCCTCAGTGACTGAGTTCATCCTCGCTGGGCTCACAGAGCGTCCACAAATCCACCTGCCCCTTTTCCTTCTCTTCCTGGTAATCTATGTGGTCACAGTGTTGGGGAACCTGGGCATGATCACACTGATTGGGCTCAGTTCTCACCTGCACACCCCCATGTACTATTTCCTCAGTAACTTATCTTTTATTGACCTCTGTCAGTCCACTGTCATTACCCCCAGAATGCTGGTGAACTTTGTGACAGAGAAGAACATCATCTCCTACCCTGAATGCATGACTCAGCTCTACTTCTTTCTTCTTTTTATTATTGCAGAGGGTTACCTGTTGGCTGCAATGGCATATGACCGCTATGTTGCCATCTGTAGCCCCTTGCTGTATAATATTACCATGTCCCATCAGGCCTGTTCCTCCCTCATTTTGGGAGTGTATGTGATGGGACTGGTATGTGCATTCTCTCACACAGGCTGCATGCTTAGGGTTCATTTCTGCAAATTAGATGTGATCAACCATTATTTCTGTGATCTTCTGCCCCTCCTAAAGCTCTCCTGCTCTAGCACCTATGTCAATGAATTACTGGTTCTATGTTTTGGTGCACTTAACATCTTTGCCCCCATCCTCACCATCCTCAGCTCCTACATCTTCATCATCTCCAGCATCCTCCACATTCGTTCCTTGGAGGGCAGGTCCAAAGCCTTCAGCACATGCAGCTCCCACATCTCAGTTGTCGCTACTTTGTATGGATCTGCAGCATTCATGTACCTGCAGCCATCATCTGTGAGCTCCATGGACCAAGGGAAAGTGTCCTCTGTGTTTTATACTATTGCTGTGCCCATGCTGAACCCCCTGATCTACAGCCTCAGGAACAAAGATGTCAATGTTGCCCTGAGGAAAATGCTTGAGAGAATATTTTTGTGCCCAGACATGAAATGAGCATGATATTTTAGATCTAGTCTTTGCTCATTACATTGCATGGATTTATGGTTCTGAGAGAGCCAATTCCTAGACAGTTTGATAAGAAGTCTGGGGGTCCCCAAGGAGAGAGGGCTCTGGAATTCTCAAGGAGGAGGAAAGGACAATTTTTTTTTTCCTTAACATCCCTTAGTCCTAGTCACATAAAGCATTTTTATCTTTAAGCCCTGAACCGATGATTACACAACCGACAGCTCAGTTTAAACTCTGTACTAAGTGTTATATAACAGAAATGCATCCTGCTTGAGGGCAGTCTCTCCTTCCTGACAACCTTCTGGCTAATCCTGCTATCTTAAAATATAAATTGTGGGAGTGGGTCTGGCAAAATTTTCACAAACTTGAGACATTCGTTTGATTCATTGTAATAACTAAGTAAAAGGCATATAACTCCATTGCTAACACTCGCAAGGGGGCACTCCCCATCCCCCTTCTGATGTCTGTGTCAGAAGCTTTCTCTCTTTTATACTTTAATAAAACTTTATTACCCCAAAGCTCTGAGCGATCAAGCCTTGTCTCTGGCCCTGGATTGAATTCTTCTCCTCTGGAGACCAAGAATCCTGGTGTCTTTCATGGTTCAGAAACAACCTTTCAGTTCTCTTACTTTGAAACCCTTACCAGAGCTTAAAATCTGAGTTAAGAACTCCTTCATGCTTTGTAACACTGCTCAAACCAGTATGCCTTCTACAATGCCATTTATTGTTTTGGGTATGTATTTGCCTGCTTATTGTTCAAAATGCACTGAACTGTAATGTTCATAAAGGTCACCCCCATACATGTATTCCTGCCATATCTGCAGGACCTAAGATAGTTTCTGGCACTAGAAAGACCTTGATAATTTTCTTATTTCTTTTTGAAAAGTATTTAGGTTGATGGGGTCGCAAAGAGTCAGACATGACTGAGTGACTGAACTGAACTGAACTGATGTGAAGTCACATATCTCTCATACTATCTTTATCCATTACTTTCTCCAATTATCTACACATCACTTTTAAATGTTAAAATCAATTAAATTTATACCTGAAGAGTTCTTCAAAGGTATGCAGTAAAACTGATGGCATCCTAAATTATTTCTATACAAAAATTTAGAAAAATGAAAAGTAGCTGCTATATCAAACCCCAATGCAGGTAATACACCTTGTGAGCACCTAATTTCTTAAGTCATTTAATAAAGTTAACAATCCAATATCCTCAAAACAAAAACTCTTGGTTTTCAATCATGCAGCCTACATGTGTTAAAAAATAATATGTATGTTTGATATCTGATGGGTCAACATAGCAAATCAGAGGTACATTGGTATCTGGAACTTGAATACTCCAGTCTAGAATACCATGGTTTCCAATACCCAGACTAGAAAAGAACATCACCTATGTTGACATTGAGAAAATTCTTAGCAAGTAGAATTTTATCACATATAAATTAAAATTCAATAAATTGGATTTCAAGATAAAGAGAAAATATGATGACCTATATTGCTGCAGTCAGAATTGTGGATCTTCCTAGATTGCCACATTGAACCAGAACATATATTACTCTATATATTAAGCAATCAACATTTAGTAAACTTTTTCACAGTAAGCGACAGATCTCTATATTATTCATCAATATTTCTTTTATTTATAGAGTTAGATAAAGTCATCAACTTATTATAGTTGTTAGGAACTTTTCATGGGGTTATGACAGTAAACAGTTGAAACCTTCCTGCAGCCTACATGTTAAAATGTTTCAAGTATTACTGTTTTATAAATATATCATGGCATCTAAATACAGTTAATAGAGGTCAATGAAAAAAGAAAATCATTCAAATATTGCACACAAAGGTTTTTTTTTCTGTTTTTTTTTTCATTTATCTTATGTGAAATCACTTTAGAAAGTTCCTTTAATGCATGTCTTAAAAATTTCCTAAAATTTTAAATTCTTATATAGCTTGACATGAAGTTCACTGGAGCTCTAATAACATTTCTTACATTTTTGTTTCCAAGCAATAATCCCACAAAAATGATAAATTACAACTATATGACACAATTAAACACTTGAGAGTCAATGGGAGAAAAGGGACTTGCTAATTGTAACTTTTCCCAAGAGCTGATACTTGTGGGATCTGATCCTAATGGGAGATCATTAGCATTACTTGTTCCTCATCTTTTGTTAGCATCAGTACTCAGAGTATAAATCACAGTTCATATCAAGCAACCATTGCAGAGGGCCATCAACTTCAAGCAGTGATTCAAAGTTATTACAGCAGAGTCTTCTAGGTTACGGCCCTACAACAAGAAATCCTGCAATGTCAGTACTCAGAACTATCCACCAGCATCACCAGAACCATTTTTCCCTTCATGGAAATAGAGGAGAAGAATACACGGCACTGATGTTTTGGGGAGCAAGAGGGATGTATCTGAATTCCAGTCCTGGACTTTAAAAAGTTGGATCTCCTGTTCTAGCTCCCTCACTGTGCACTAATAGATGAGAGTAGCTGTTTTTCCATCTCTATCTGTCCTCACTCTAATATCCACACTTCCTGAGGAGCAAAGGTTCGCTTATTATCTCTCTGTCCCTGCTGGATAAAAGTATAGCCAGTATTTCTTTGTTTACTCACTTCACCTCAGGCTGTGTGAGAGCTTTGTTCACTTGTGTTGGAGTCTATGTTAACTTATTACTACACTCTTGTCAATAATTTCATTTAAAAAGTCATACTTATTGATACTTGTATGTAAGGCATTGTGCCAAACACTGTATTGAGTTTACCATCTATTACAGAAGAAAATTCATAACTAACTCATAATAACTGATACAGAATTAAGCATGTGCAAAATGTAAACTTGAGAAAGGTATTCCTGAGCACATAGTAAACTAGTAAACCATTATTAAAGCCCTTAACTTAAGGACCCTAACTATTGAATACATTTCATCAGGTACCCTGGGAATGTGTGAAAGACAGATAAAGAAATATAAGTCCTAGAAGGTATTCTAACAAATGCTCTGTGTAATAGTTAAATCCTATGATACCTGGTGGGACATAAAAAAAAAGATTTTGTTATCGGGTGATATAAATCATTGAATGACAGAAATTTATTCAAGCTTTATTTGTGTCTTAGGAAATGTTAATACTTAGAAAGTTAATATTTAATAAAAATTTCAAATTTCTGTATCATTGTATGCATTTAGATAGAAAGGAGGAACAAAAAAATGTCTTAAGAAAAAATAAAATAAATTCCAGCCATCATAGTAGAAATGAAAATGCCACTGAGACAAAAGATATAATGGAAAGAAACTCAATAGGTTAAGATTAAAATAACATTGACAGTATTAAGGTCTTTCCAAGGGTATGGGACTGTGCTAAGCATATCATAGAAATCACTTACCTGAGTTTACACAGAAAGTAGATTTTAGTGTTTCTGTTTTTCAGAGAGTTGGAGAACAGACATATCTCAAGACCACATAGCAAGAATGGGGTTGAGCTGAGGATTCAATCCTCTACTGTGTAACAAAATCAGGATTCATTAGAATGAAGATAAAAGAAGCACATTTAATCCAACTACCTATTAGGTGTGTCCTTAGAGAATATCTGCTATGTGTGTGGTTATTCAGTCTGTACTCAAACTTTTATGACTGTCAGCTCAGGGTGTGTCTGATGATAGGGATGTTTGTTTTTGCTGTGAAACCAAATATTTCTTCCCATAGTTTGAGGCAGTTAATTTTACCAAATCTGTTGAACATATACAATACTTTCAGTACCTCTCACTGCCATGTGATGAATGTTGAGATAACTGTCTTGTGCCACATGAATTTTTGCTTTGCTAGAAAAAAGTATCCTTGATTATTTTAGTCATCTTAAAATACCATATTTCTAGATCATATTAATGAAACTGTTACTTTTTTCCTATATCACACACAGTATTTTACTTCAAACTGAACACAATAGTCCAAATATTGCTTGAGTGTTAAGAATATAAATTTCTGTTTTCTAGAAACATTTCCTTTTCAAATCTAAAAAAAAAAGATACATTGGTTTTTAAAAAGCATATCACTGTTGACTAGTATTGAATTGACACTAAAATTACTTATTTTATTTTACATGTACCTTACTAATCCACATCTTTACCATCTTTGAATCCAATTTAGAACATGTGCAAAATACATGATTATATATAAAAAATGTTGGCATACCAAATGCTTAGTGCTTTGTCATAGATCTGTCTTAGTACACTGATACCCCGGTCACAGTGGTGGAGTACATGACTTGTATTTAGGCCATTATACTCTCACCCCTAAGATTATTCAAATTAGAATAAGAAAGAATGGTTCTTAGAGTGGGAAAACCTATTGAGGTATGAACATGGTGTCTGCCAAGCAGTTATATTTCTGCCCTCTGTGGTCAAAGTCCAGGGAGAAGGAAGTTGGGACATTAAAGCATCAGATCTCAGGTGAAATGATACTGGTCTTCAGATATTTTCAGTTGAGATATTACTAAAAAAGACAGCCCCAACTAATATAACTACTTTCCACAGACTCGTGAATCCTCTATACATGAATTATACATTTTATATTATATATTATATATATACTTATATATATTATTATTATAATTATACATAATATATACAATCCTCTATACATTAATTATAGAAAGCAAGTACTACTATTACTTATCATAAATGAAAGGAAAATTCTATGTCATTCAACATGCATGATATTAATATATAAACATAGAAACTTGGAGAAAAGATGAGTAATCAGAAATAATACTAGAAATATGTTTTGGACTGG